CCCCTATCTATTCCGGCTTTCCCCTTTATGGGGTCTTTCTCTTTCTTAATGGGTGTCTCTGCTCAGTCTTGGTGGGTTCTCTCCAAAGGACCTTACATTCCTCATTTTGTAGGTTGTCTGTTTCCCTGTCACTCCCTCTGCATCTCTCACTCTGTCTTCCTCCCACTTCCCCACCTGTGAGATCACGTTCGTGGCAGCTACCCTCCTGGGCTGCAAAGACAGGCATGAGTTCAGGAATTCAGCCCCATGATGGAGATGCTCTGTCAGCAGGCACTCATGGGGCCCCCCGGGTGTCCCTGCTGCCAAGGGACAGAGGCTCGGTCGAAGGGATCACTGAGCCCTGGGCACGCTCTGTGCGCTGTGCCCGCGTCCTTCCTCTGGGCTCCCTTGTGGAGAGGTGGCACCAGTGGCTCCGATGACTCTACAGGCGAGTGGTGGGGCTGCAGTGTGAACCCCTGCCTTCTAGCACTGGATGTGTGCTCTCCCCGATCCCTCCCCTCCTGCCTCTCTCAGCGGCAGAGTGGGTCACACACTTTGTGACCGTGGGTGAGTGACTGAATGCCCTCAGCCTCTTCTGTAGACAGTGGCAACTGAATGCCAGCTGCACAGGGTTGTACAGACCAAACGAGGTCCCACGGGTTCTAGGGGGCTGACCTCGTAGCCCTGTGAACTCCCCATTGAGAAGCAGGTGTGGGGGGCCTGGGGGCAGGCCCTGAACCTCTGCCATGGGCCTGCCTTCCAGACTGCCTGGAGCAGAAGTCCAGCCTAGCACCCTGGCCGGGCACACGCTGACCACCAAGTAACACCCTGCCTCCTTGCCTGCAGGAATCCTCGTGGCCCACTACCTCCAGAGCATCACGCCATGTCTGGCCCTGGGCGGAGAGCTGGTCTACCACCGGCGGCCTGGGGAGGAGGGCACTGTCATGTCTCTAGCTGGGAAATACACGTGTGAGCCTGGGGCCCACAGGTCGGAGGAGGGGCTGGGGCTTGAACTCCTGGGTCCGAGGGTGGAGAGGCTGGGGGTCTCGGTCTGAGGGAGGAGGGGGCCTGGAGACCTCGACTCCTGGTCTGAGGGAGGGGGCATCTGGGTTCCCAAGTCCCCTTGGTGACCTGTCCCCACCCCCACCCCGCTCTCTCACAGTAAACAACTGGCTGGCGACAGTGACATTAGGCCAGGCGGGCATGCATGCCACGTACTACCACAAAGCCAGTGACCAGGTGAGCGGTCCAGGGACCGGCTGCGTGGGTGCACTGCCAGGTGGGGGTGGCCAGGGGTTTGCGTGCCCTGGAGTCTGGTCTGGGAAGCTGACTCTGTGTGTTACCCCGGCCCCCCGCAGCTGCAGGTGGGCGTGGAGTTTGAGGCCAGCACAAGAATGCAGGACACGAGTGTCTCCTTTGGGTACCAGCTGGACCTGCCCAAGGCCAACCTCCTCTTCAAAGGTACAGGCCTCAGTTTCCCACCCTGGGAAACAGGCTGAGAGGTGACTCTCTTTGAGTGGGTGTAGGCCACAGGAGATGGTGAAGGGCAGCGTGCCAGGACTCTTGAGGGCCTCCAAATTACCTGGGGGCCCGGGCCCTGGGCTCCGCACCCCTGCCAGCCACCCTCTCCCATCCCCGCACTCTGCCCTCATTTCTCTTTTTCCAAAAGTGGGAGGTAACTTGGAGCGCAGCCGGCTCACCCCGCTCACCCCACTCACCTCGTCAGTGGAGACAAGGCTCCCGGAGTGGGTGCAGCCACTGCCAGGCCCAGAGCCGCCTCCAAGACCAACTGCCTCTAGTCCTCTGTCCGGTCTTGGGTCTTCTTGGGCCCCGTGGTTCTCAGGTTTGGGGGTGTGAAGACCACCCCCAAAGGCCTCTTCTGTCAGCCCCGGGCAGGACTTCTGCTGGCAGTGAGAAGGCCTGGGGTGGGGGCGGTTTCACCTGTGAAAGCTTCCAGCCCCTGCTTGTTCATCAGCCAGTACAGAGGCGGAGTTGGGGTTCCAGCTCCGCCCCCACATGGGGAGGGTTCTGGCATGTGCACATCTGTCGGGCTCTGGCAAAAGAGCCCAAGGGGACACTCCAGTCATTCGGCAGATGCTGAGCATCCACTGTGCCCAGCCTTGTGCCAGGGGTGCTGGGGACAGCTGTCTTCACAGGGGTCACACTAGGAAGGACAGACCTAGCCCCAGGGAAGGAGGACCTGGGGTGGACAGGATGGGCACAGTGGAGCCCACAGGGTGGCAGAGGGCTCCCCAGAGGGGTCAGCTTGCTGAGTGGAGAGCAGAAGAGAAGTGAGCTGGTTGTTCTCTGGTCTGATGTACTTGGGGTGCAAGGAAAGGTTTCTGGGCACAGTGTGGTCAAGGTCTGGGAGCCGGCAGTCTGGCTGGCGGTGCCTGAGGTAGCCTGGAGGGCATGGGACTCCACAGAGACGGTGGGAAGTTGGCATACACGCGGCTTTCAGCACAGCTGTTGCCCGCAGGCTCCGTGGACAGCAACTGGATCGTGGGTGCCACGCTGGAGAAGAAGCTCCCGCCCCTGCCCCTGACGCTGGCCCTCGGGGCCTTCCTGAATCACCGAAAGAACAAGTTCCAGTGCGGTTTTGGCCTCACCATCGGCTGAGCCTCTCCTGGCCTCTGCCTCCCACTCCCTCCTGCTTTCAGATCCAACCTCCCCCTCCCCCTGGCACGGAGGGGAGACCTAAGCCCCACTTCCTCTCCCTTCCCTCCCTCCTTGGGGGTCAGGAGGAGCAGCAGAACGGAGGGGACCCATCGCCCCAGCGGCTGAGGGGGGAACTCTGGAACTGTGGGCACTTCAGGATTCAGAGCGCCAGGGACGCTGTGCCCCGAGGGCCTGGGGTCCCGAAGGGGTTCCGAAATCGAGGAGCACGCCAGATTCTGAGCGCCAGGGCAGAGGCGGCCAGACAACCTCAGGGAGGTGTTGGGGCGTCCCCCTCCCCCAAAGGGCCCTGGGGCCCAGCCCCAAGGGGGCAGCAAGAAGAGGAGCTTCCCTATCCCTGGCCAGCCCCCACCCACTTTCCCATCCACTCCTCGGTATAAATCATGTTTATAAGTTATGGAAGAACTGGGACATTTTACAGAAAAAAAAAAAACCAACAACAAAAATACATGGAAAAAAAACCATGGGAGGCCTGGTTTTCCTGTCTGCTCCTTTTCCAGTGCATCCTGCCTGCTCTTCCCACAGCGGCCAGTAGGGGGTGCCACAGGGCTGGAGTATGAAAGGGTGAGGCAGAAAGGGAGTTTTTTCTGGCTCCTCCCAGGAGCCCAACTTGGAGAGGGGAAGGGCCTGGCCCAGGATCACACAGCCTCCCTGCGGCTTCTGCCCTCCCTGGGGCATCACAGGCCAGGAGGGTGTGGTCTGGCCGCTGTGAGCTGAAGCTGTTGGGTGGTGGGGTGGGGCTCCCTGGGGGTGGGGATGAGGGGCTTTCCAGGTTCCTAAAAACGGCAGGGATGCTGGGGTATTAGAACTTTGATAGGTCAGAGATTCTAAAAGTTCATGAAGAATGCAAGCATCTGAGAAGATTTGAGAACCACCGTGCCTGATGGGAGGAGTTGAGTTTAGGACTTCTGGGGCCGGGGTGGGGGGGAGGCGGAGCTGGGGCCTCTGGTGGACACACAGGGGTGGAGGCTGGCTTGCCTGTGTCTCGGGTATCTAATGCTGGGGAGGAGGGGGGATCAGTTGGCCTACCTAAGGCTCAGATAGACACCCTGGAGTCCTCCGGATGGGAACTGAAACCCTGTCTGCTACCGACATGTACCCAGGGTTTGGGGAGGAGGGCTGCTGGGCAGAAATGAACCCTTGTGACCTGGGGAAACCACGACACCCGCACCCTGTGGGTGCCTTCTGAGACCAGACGGGCCTGGCTGATGGTGAGGCCTGCTTCCTGGGACCAGGCGTCCGGCCTCCCCTGACCTCATGGAATCAATCCCAGCGCCTCCACTTCACCCTGGGTGGCCTGGCCAGCCCCCTCCACTTGAAGTGGTGAAACAACAGCTGGATTCAAGTACCAGCAGCTAGGGAGGCGACTGTTGGAATGCTCATTATGGCCAATCACGGCAGCCAGATCTTACACAGGACCCCTGGGTGCCAAGGGTGTCCTCTGTACTTCACGCATGGAGCACAGCAGGCTGTTGGTCTCCTTTGGTTTTTTCATCTCCTTATAACGTTGGGGCCTAACTCTTGTTTATATCTACCGGCCCCTGGTGAAACTGGCTTTGTCAGATGTGTTGCCGCAGTTCCAAGACCCGTGTATCGACAAGGTGAAGTGAGGACTTAACCGTAACTTCTTGCATCACTGAACGATGGCACAAGCCCAGCTGTTTCCCTGGTTTTGTGGACCAGGACACTGGATGTCCAGAGAGACTTGGTCACTTGCCCAAGGTCACACAGACGGCAACTGACAGAGCCCAGATTCAGGCTGGGAAGTTTGGTTCCAGAGTCTCCAGTGCTACCCAGGCAGCACAAACCCTCCCAGCCCTGTGGACAGCACCATGTTCCGGCAGCTCCTGGAATCCGCGATGCTTGTGCTGGACTTCCAATTCACAGATGCGAACAGGGGCTCAGAGAGGCGTCCGTCTGTGCCCAAGCTCGCAGCCAGAGAGGCAGCTAAGATTAAGACCCAGGTTTCACTCTCAAAGCCTAGGCAGATGCATTACACTGTCCCCAACCCCTCCCATCTCATTTCTGCCATCGGTTCTGTTCTCCCTCAGACCCAGGAATCCAAGCCCCCAGCCCCTCCGTCCTCTGACCCAAGATTCCGGCCCCAGCCCCCTCTCCTAATTGTGTTTATTCAGTGGCCCCCCCTGCCCCTTCCCCTCCCTTGCCCAGCCCCCCTCTGGAGGGCGCCTGAGTTACTGGGTGAGATGTCACCTCCCCTCATGGGGGCTGGGGGCGTCACAGGGCCTCTGAGTCCCACCTCCTTTCCCCTCCCTGCTGTGCGCAGGGGGAGAACAGCCCACCTCGTGACTGGGGGCTGGCCCAGCTCGCCCTTGCCCCGGAGGAGTGGGCGGGGCGGGGGGAGCCCTATAATTGGAGGAGTCTGGGATCCCTGAGTCCTACTCGGCCAGAGCGGAGGAGAAAGACTGGTTTCCCGGGAGCTGGTGAGAAGTGAAATTGGGGGCGCAGAGACCAGCTCAGGGCTGCTGTGGCTGTAGGGGACTAGCAGGGGAGGAGGAGGTGACTGAACTATGCCCCGAGAATCAGGAAAAGAAAAAAAAAAAGCGGGAGCTGGGAATGAGGCTAGAGGCTGCGACCTTGGGTGGGTGGGGCACGCAGGCTTCCCGTCCCGACGGGGCTGGAAGTGACCGGCGGGGACCGTCTGGCCCTGTGAAAGAACCAGATGAGCCGCAGCAACAGCCCACGAATGGTGGCCCGTTCAGTGAGCACCTACTGGGTGTCCCTTCCTCAGATCTCCATGAACTGGAGGCTCAGAGGGAAGTGGTGGTGGGGTGGCTAGAGCATCCACTGAAGGAGGACTTTTAAACGAGGGTTGGGCGTCATTCTGCAAGCTGAAAAGTCGTCGGTTCCATCCCGGTCAGGGCACATGCCTGGGTTGCCGGCCAGGTCCCCCTGTTGGGGGCGTAGGAGAGGCAACCGATTGATGTTTCTCATGCATATCGATGTTTCTCTCCCTTCCCATTTTCTAAAAAATAAATAAAAGTCCTTTTAAAACAATACGCGAACATTAAATTAGCTAATACGTGGAAGATGGCGCTGAGAGGTGAAATAGGAGCCTAGAATGCGGAGGTAGAGTGCGGAATGTGAGACTGGAATTTAGAACACCCAGCTGGGGCTCACACAGAACTCGGGGAGGAGGGGTGAGTGGAATTTGAACCCTGGGAGAGGGGGAAGGAATTTTGGCCCGAAGGCCGACCTGGGGATAAGGAGATAGGAGAGGACAATGAGGGCGATAGACCATGGAGGGACTGCTAAGTAAGTGTTTGTGGCCGGGTTATGATGCAGATCTGGGGCTGAGGCTCTGAAGACCTGGACCCGGTGGGTGGGGCTTTGGGTGGGAGGAGTCGCCACGGACTATTGATTGACAGTTTCTCCCTCCGCCAGACTAACCTGCTCTGAAGATGAAGGCTTTGTGGGCTGCGCTGGTGGTCACACTGCTGGCAGGTATGAGGCGGGACTTGCTCAGGTTCCCTGCCCCTCCCCCTCCCACCCCCACCTGTATGCTCTGACCCGTTCCATCCCCGTGTTCCTTCTTTCTCTCCTCCTTGAGAAGAGGCCCGGGTCTGAGGCCTTTCCTAGCAGTCGCTGGCTCTGAGCAGCCGTGTTACTCCCTGGACCTCAGTTTTCCGATCCTTAAAATGGGAGCTGTAACACTTTCTGCTGTAAGGCATCGTGATCAGGCAGGCAGTGAGCACGGCGCAGGAGCCTGCTGCAATTGGCTTTGTTCTCCATCGCCCTGGCATGGCGCACACACAGACACCCAGTAAATGCGTGTCGGGAGAGGACCCAGGCTGGCCGTCCTTCGCCCCCTCCCTGCCCACCAGTGCTCTAAAGAAGCACACCAGCATTTGTGGAGCACCGGCCATGTGCCTGGAGAGGGCAGAGGGCCTTCACAGCCGTGCACTGGTTCCACGCAGGATGCCAGGCCGACGTGGAGGAGGTGAAGCCGGCGCAGGAGCCCGAGCAGTGGCAGGGCAACCAGCCCTGGGAGCAGGCGCTGGGCCGCATCTGGGATTACCTGCGCTGGGTGCAGACGCTGTCTAACAAGGCGCAGGAGGAGCTGTTTGGCACCCAGGTCACTGAGGAATTGACGTGAGTGCCCCCACCCTGGCCCCTCGCCCACTTGGTGGGCGGTTCCTTCTGGATCCTCTGCTTCCACTAGTCTGGAACTCTCAGGGGGGTCTCTTCATCTCTTTGGCTTCTTCTTTCTATTTTGAACTCCTGGCTTTAACTCTCTCTGGTTCTTCCTCAGCCCTTCCTGTCTCGGGCGTATTCCTTTTTGTCTCCTGGCATCATCGTAGCCTCTCCGGTCACCCCTGTTCCTGTCTGTCTTGGTCTCCCCCTCTTGGCCTCTCCTCTTTTGGGTCGCTCTGCTTCTGCCGTTGACGTCTTGCCCTCCTCCACCGCATCTTCTGCCCTGTGTCTGTCTCCCTTCCACCCTATCCGCCTGCAGAGTGTTGATGGAGGACGCCATGAAGGAGGTGAGGGCCTACAAGGAGGAGCTGGAGAAGCAGTTGGGCCCCATGACCCAGGAGACGCATGCCCGCCTGTCCAAGGAGCTGCAGGCGGCGCAGACCCAGCTGCAGACGGACATGGAGGACTTGCGCACCCGCCTGACCCAGTACCGCAGCGAGGTACAGACCCTGGTGGGCCAGAACCTCGAGGATGCTCGGGCCCGCCTGGCCTCCCAACTGCGCAAGCTGCGCAAGCGCCTGCTCCGCGACACCGAAGACCTGCAGAAGCGCCTGGCCCTCTACCAAGCCGGGGCCCGCGAGGGTGCGGAGCGCGGGGTCAGCGCCATCCGCGAGCGCCTCCTGCCGCTGATGGAGCAAGGCCAAGCACGGGCCATCACTGTCGGCAAGCCGCTGCGGGATCAGGCCGAGGCATGGGGCCAGCGGCTGCGCGGAAAGCTGGAGTCGGTGGGCAGCCAGGCCCGTGACCAACTGGACGACATGCGCGATCGGATGGAGCAGTTCCAGGCCAAGGTGGAGGATCAGGCCAACCAGATGCGCCTGCAGGCCGAGACCTTCCAGGCCCGCCTCAAGACCTGGTTCGAGCCCCTGGTGCAAGACATGCAGCGTCAGTGGGCGGAGCTGGTGGAAAAGGTGCAGTCGACCTTGGGCACCAACGACCCCGCTGTGCCCAAGGAAAATTAATAAGTGCTGGCCGGCCATGCGGCCTGGAAGACCCCACTCCCGCCACCTCCGTCCCCCTGCATCCCCCAGCCTGCATGGGCCCCATCCTGCCCCTACTGCCCACCTGGTGGGCCCTGGCTCAATAAAGTGTAAGCAAGCTTCACATCAGCAGCTGGGTGTCTGAGTGTGATTTCTCACCGCCCCAGCCTCCATTCCTCCTTCCCCACACGCATTTCTCAGGCCTGGCCTCTCTGCCTGTGTGCGCGCCTATTTCTTTGTTCGACTCTGTCTCTGCTTCCTTCTGCCGCTTTCTAAGGCCTTTTTACCTTTCGTTGTCTCTGCTTCTCTTTGCTGCTCACTCTTTCTCCTCCGCCTCTTTCCATGCTGTCCCTGAGCCAGACCAGGTCCTGGAACAAATCCACCCCTGGGTTCAACCCTGCAGTTGCCCCTGACGACCATGGGCGAAAGCAACATCTCTGAGCCTCCGTTTGCGCAACTTTGTCCTACCGGCTTTGCAGAGTTGCCAGGACTCAAAAGTCCTGAGTCCGCTGCCATTAATAAGCCATTTTTATTTTTCCCACTCATTTTCTCCCCCTTTCTCCATCCAGTCTTTTTTTAAGATTTTATTTATTTTTAAAGGGAGGGAAACGTCCATCGGTTGCCTCTTGTACACATTCCAACCCTGACCAGGGACTGAACCTGCAACCCAGGCCTGTGCCCTGACCAGGAATTGAACCAGCGACCTTTCATTTTTCGGGACAACTCCCGACCCATTGAGCCACACGAATCAGGGCTCTGTGTCCTATCTGCTTCTGCCCCCTTCCCTCTCTCGGCCTCTGCCCTGCTCTTACTGAGAGGCTTCGTTTTTCTGCCCTCCTGTTTCCCTCCACCTCTATCTCTCATCTCCCCCGCCCCTCTGGTTGCTCCCTCCTCTACCCAGCTTTTGTTTTTTTCCCTTCCTCCACAAGGGTTCATTCTCTCTGCCAGTCTGTTGCACGGCAGCCCTCTGCCTTTCTCTTTCCCTATGGGTTCACCAGTCCCTTCATTCTGATCTGTGCTTCCTTGTCCCCTTCCCCTCATTCCCATTCCTTCTCTCCCGGTTACTGGGTCCTGGCTGGACAGAGAAGGGAGAGGAGCCTCATGGGAGGATCTGCACAGCCCTCTGGAGTGCAAGGCTGGGAGACTGAGTTGACAGACCCGTGAGAGTTAAAGCCCCGGATGGAACTGCAGGCGCTCTCTTCCCCCACCCCCTGGGTTCTCCAAGGAGGGGAGCAAGGGTTCCCGCCACAGGAGACTTGAGTTTGTGTCTCTGCAAGGGAGCTTGCACTTCTTGACTCACCAAGAGCTGAGTGAGGAGGGGAAGGGTCCCTGGGCTCAGGCAGGACCCTAGTCCCAGCCGAGCCTGCTGCTGGTGTATCTATTGTCCTGTGTGCCCTGGAGCTGGGGGATAAACCCTCTTAGAGCCTCCGTTTCCCCAGATGGCATGAGGCGGGCACCATCAGCCATGCCCTCCACTTGAAGAGATGCATTTTGAGTTCTCATGCATGAAGACATCTGAATACAGACCTGGCCTGGCCTAACGGCAGCCCCAGTCGGTTCTAAGAGGTGGGATAAGGGCTGGGAAGGAGCGTTGGGGAGACAGGCTAGCGGGCTGCTGTGGCGAGGAGACTGGCCCCCCCAGGAATCTGGGGAGACACCCTGGAGTCCAGGAAGGGGAGGGACAAAGACCACACCCAAAGACTTAGCCTTTGAATGTTCTTGATAGAGCCTCAGTTTCCCCATTTGTAACCAAACACCTCTAGAGCTGAAGTGAGGATAAGACTGAGAAAGCAAAGCTGTGCTATTCTTGGGGTGGGGTGGGAGAGGGGAGCAGACATTTGGGTGCGTGTCTGGGGAGAACTGGGCTCACGAGGAAAGCAGATGTCTGGGAAGACGGGGGGGGGGGGGGGGCGGCGGCGGAGGCCCAGGGGGGGAGGGCTCACAGGGACTGGAAGCTGCTGAGTTGGCCAGAGGGGTGTTGCAATCCCGCCAGGGGCCCCTGTGTCCCTTTCACAACCACCCGCCCCCACCCCCAGGCTGACGCGTGGTTGTGGGGGCACAAGGCCAACCAACCTAGAGTCTGGGGCCTGGGGCCACCCTCCCCTGGGCTGCCAGGGGTCACTGGCGGTCAAAGGCAGCCGAAAAGAAGGGAGGAAGGGCTGGATTCCAGCCCTGGGGAACGGATGTAGTGCTGGGAGAGGAGAGGGTTGAGGGGGGCGGGCTTGGTGCCAGGAGGTGCCTGAGAAGGTGAAGAAGTGCAGATGGAGTGTGTACAGGGGCCCCCCGAGACTTGGAGAGTCGTGGGGGCAATGGAAGAGTCGGGGGAGCTGGTGGAATGCACAAAGGGGTGCACAGGGGGAGCTTTGCAGATGAGTCTGTGTGGTTTAGGCCGACTGAAAAGACCCCTCCCCAAAAGGGGGGTTGGGGACTGTGAAGTTAGGACCCCAGAAAGGGTCCAAAGGGCCCTGACATGCCCCCAGATATAAGTGGATGGGGGCTCAAAGGGCTGGTCTGAACGTGAGAATGGGGGAGTATGGAGGGACCCCGGGACATGGAGGCAGAGTTGTTTGAGCTTGCTGGGAAGAGGGAGGGGATGGAAGAGGTGGCCTGGGGACGACACACCATGAAGTGGGTTACTCAGTAACAGTGACTGACAGACCTCCTGACACTGGGAGGACGTGTTAGCAGAAGGGGAGGGACCCAAGGCCCAGGCTGAGGCCCCCCTCCCCCACCGCACTGTCAGGCTGAGGGACTTGCCTGTGCCCTGCCTGACCCCTGGCCCTAGGGCCGGGGATGTCAGAGGTGGGTGGGCACAGGGAGGCAGGCAGCAGGAGAGGCTGAAGGGGAGGGAGACTAACCTGCCCCGCCCCCTCCCCAGCCGATAAAGGCCAGGCCAGGCTGGGACGTGCTGCGCTTGCTCTCCGGTCCAGCAACTGATTCAGGTTGGTGCTCCGTTCCCCGGAGGGACCCTCCGCACTCACCGAGAGCATAAGAAAGCGGGTGGAGGAAGCTGGGGGAGGAAGGAGGGGCGCCACTGCTCACCCCCACCCCCACCTCTGCCTGCAGAGTACCCCTGTGGCCCAGCCATGAGGCTCCTGCTCTCGCTCCCGGTCCTGGTGGTGGCTCTGTCGATGGTTTTGGAAGGTGAGAGTGGGTGGGAGAGAAGAAACTGGGAGTTTGAGATCTGGAAGCATGAAGCTGGCTGTGGGCCTAGCGGACCCTCTGGAGCTCTGGGGCCTCTCCCGTGCCCCGGCTCCCCTATTGCCCGCTGACCAACCCCCACGACCACCTGGCCAGGTGGCTGTCCCCAGGGCAGTCAGTCCAGCAGGTGGCAATACTCGGCTGGAACACCGCCTGGTTGCTCCAGCACCCTCCCCATTCTAACACCGAGATCCTCGAAAATCACATCCCTGGAAGCTCATGCAAAGGGCTCCTGATACTGAAATGGTGGCGCTCCCGCCCCTCTTCCCGGCAGGCCCAGCTCCAGCCCAGGCCGCCCCGGACTTCTCCAGCACCCTGGAGAGCATCCCGGGGAAGCTGAAGGACTTCGGCAGCACCGTGGAGGAGAAGTTCCGGGCAGCCATCGACCAAGTCAAGAAGAGCGAAATTCCTAAGAAGACCTGGTTAGGACCTTTCCCAGGGCATGGGAGGGGGGGGGGGTATCCATTAAGACTGGGAAAACCTACAAAATCCTTGTGACCACTCAGCTGAATCTCAGAGTGCTCAGACTTGGGGCACAGGCTCCCTGACTCCCCCAGCCAGCCACTGTGGAGAGATGGCCTGGGAGGCAGTGAAGGACCCAAGCTTGTGGGGTTCTGACAGGCCTGCGTCCATAGGCTGCCAGAGACTCTCTTCTCCCTGTGTGACCGTGAGCCTTGGTTTCCTCATCTGTAAAATGGGCGGTTTTGGGGGCAGGTAAACTGGAGCACTTGCATGTAGCTCCCGGGACGTTGTAAGCACTTGACTCGGTGTTTAACCACCAGTGGCTTCACTTGGTGAGTTAGAGAATCATTTATTCATGAACAAATATTTGTCGAGTATCTGCTAAGTGCCAGGAAGTGTTCCAAAGTGGGGGATACTATTGATGAACAACATACACAAAGTCCCTGCCAACAGAGATCTGATGTTCTGGGGGGCAGGGCGAGAGTGGGGAGGACGGATGCTGAATCGGTGAATTCCCAGGAGATGAATCCCGCTAGAAGAGCTAAGCGCTGAGAAAACGAACAGAGTGGGTATAAACCACCAAGCACTAGAGAGCGGCTTTCGTAGACTTGGTGACTGGGTCTTTTCTGAAAACACTTTATTTTTATTTTCTTAACTTTTATAGTAGGCATCTATAATTGTCTCACTTTTTTAAATGTATTTATTTATTTTTTAATCCTCCCCCAAGGATATGTTTATTGACTTTTAGGGAGAGAGGAAGGGGAAGAGAGAGAGAAAAATCAATGCATGAGAGAAACATCCATCGGTTGCCTCCCATCCATGCCCCCACTGGGGACTGAACCCGCAACCTCTTGGTGTACAGGAAGATGTTCCAACCAACTGAACCATTTGGCCAAGGAAGAGAGAACGCTTTAAATTGAGATCCATCCCTGGCCAGGTAGCTCAGGTGGTTGGAACATCATCCCAATACACCCCGGTTGCAGGTTTGATCCCTGGTCAGGGCATGTATAAGAACAATCAATGAATGCGTCAAGGAGTGGGACAAGCCGATGTTTCTCTCTCTCCCTCCCTCCCTCCCTCTCTCTTAAAACCAATCAATCAATAAAAATTTTAAAACATAAATTGAGATGCAATGATTAGGACAATCCAGCCAGGCTCAGAAATGTGGTAAGAGTGTTCCCTGGGGAGGGTGGGCGCCAAGGGCCTGAGGCAGGAAGATCTGCAGACAATCGGGGGGGAGGGTGGCAGTCCCTGCAAGGGGGCCGCTGGGCAAAGGCAGGAGTTCTGGAAAGTGCCCTTCAGTGAATAGGGGACAACTAGGGCGTGAGCAGGCTTAGAGAAAGTGTTGGTAGCAAGAGATGGCAGGCCTTGAAACCCAGGCCAAGGCAAAGGGTTTTGACTTTAAGGAGCTCTGGTGCATCTGGGAAACTGAGGCACAGAAGATGGGCCACCCACAGACGGGGGAAGCCCTGGGCGGAATTTGGGCATCCTGGGAGAGATGACACACAGCAATGACCCCCACCCCCTCTCTCCCCACAGGTCCTGGCTTTCTGATACATTCAGCAAAGCGAAAGAGAAGATTGAAAGTACCTTCTCCTGAACACCGGGAGGGCTGCCCCTCTCCTCTGTGGCTGTGTCTGAGGAGGGGGCTCTAAAGTTTCCCAATCCCCCAACCCCTGTGCTGAGGACTTTCTCCATGATGCCCCATGTCCCACCACCAATAAAATTCCTATAAAGAATTCTGAGTGTTTCTTTCCTGTGGGGCAGGGGCTATGGGACAGCGTGGGGGTGAGCATTAAGAGAGAGAAGCAGAACTCAAGTGTATTATTGCTCATTCTCTGTGCTGAGGACTCTGGACTTCGTGATCTCAAGAGAATCCTCATGAAAACCTTGCATGCTGGCCCTATAAATCTCATGAGTGCACTGACGTCCAGAGAGGTGAAGTCACTTGTGCAAGATCCCACGGCCAGGGAGTGGAAAACTGGATGGGACCCTCAGCCTGGGGCATATAGCTCTTCCCCGGTGGGCTGCCTGAGACAAGGAACACAGGGGTGACAAGGGACAGGGGTGACTCACCGCCGTGCTCACAGCAGGTGATCATTACACTTTCAGTGGATAATGCAGGAGGATCTGGAAGAGGGTAAGGGCAGGACGTGGCTAGGGCCTTGTAAGAGAGCCACACAGTGCTCCTCCCTCCAAGTCTCAGCATGAGGTCCCCTCCTCCAGGAAGCCCTCCTTCACCCCCAGGCTGAGTCAAACACCTGTGTCCCCACTCTGCCCAGTCTGGGTTGTCACTGTCTGGCGATGGGTGTCTCCCCCACTGGACTTTGAGCCCCAGGAGGACAGAGCCAAGGCTGTCGTCACCACCGTGTCCCAGGGACAGAGCATAGTGCGGGAGGCTTGGAAATATTTGATGAAGCAGGTATGCTAAATAGAAAAAAAATAAAAATTCCATTTTTACAAAACCTCACTGAGGTAGATGCTGTCCCTGACCCTGTGCTCCTTGAGGGAGAGACAGAGGCAGAAGGGCTGCAGCCACTTGTGTGATGTCACAGACCAGAGCAGGTGGAGCTAGGATTTGAACCCAGGTGGGGGTCCCAGGGCCACACTGTTTTGTGGGGTTTCTTAAAGATTTTATTTATTTGCCCTGGCTGGTGTAGCTCAGTGTGATTGAGAGCTGGCCTGCGAACTGAAGGATCACTGGTTTTTTTAAATAAAGTTTTTATTAATTTATTTTTAGCCATGTCTAGCATAGCTCAGTGGCTTGAGCGCAGGCTGCGAACCAAAGCATCGCAGGTTCGATTCCCAGTCGGGGCACATGGCTAGGTTGCAGGCCACAGCCCCCAGCAACCGCACATTGATGTTTCTCCCTCTCTCTCTCTCTTTCTCTCTCTCTCTCTCTTTCCCCCTCCCTTCCCTCTCTAAAAATAAATAAATAAAATCTTTAAAAAATTATTTTTAGAGAGAGGGGAAGGGAAGGAGAAAGAGAGGAAAAGAAACACTGACCTGTGGTTGCCTCCCTCACGCCCCACACTGGGGACCCAGCCAGCAACCTAGGCATGTGCGTGGGCTGGGAATAGAACCAGCAACCCCTTGGTTTGCAGGCTGGCACTCAATCCACTGAACCACACCAGCCAGGGCCCAGGGCCACATTCTTACTCAGTCTGCTCTCCTCTTCCCTGAGTCACTCTGCAGAACGGCCGGCTGCAGTCCACGAGCCAGCCGCCAGCCTCATCCACATCATATTCAGTGGATGAAAATGCACCCACCATCCTCACTAGAGATGAGTTTTGCACTGTGGTTGCAAACCTCATTAGGCATTAGGGCATATTCCGAGTCACTTTACTTGAACAATCACTAATTTTTATTTCTAGCATTTTGGAGCCAATTTGTTTTTTAAGCTTTTTCATAAGCCCCTGAAAAATACTCAGGCTGGCTCTGACCAGGTGACTCAGTTGGTTGAAACATCGTCCTACACACCGAAAGGTGGTGGGTTCGATTCCGGTTCAGGGCACATGCCTAAGCTGCAAATTTGATCCCCAGTAGGGGCATGTGTGGGACGCAACCAATGGATGTTTCTCTCTCTCTCAAATGAATAAACAATATAATTGTTTATCTCTTTCAAAACAATAATCCTCCAGTGAGGATTAAGGAGGTTAAAAAAAAAAAAACCACAGGCTGGAGTCCCAGGAGACTCACAGGGCAGAGAAGGAAGTTGGAGGGGCAGTGAGTGCCTGGTGTGAGCACACACACTGCTTTTGAGGGGAGCCTCACACTTGGGGGCTGACACACACACCGGGGTCTTGGGGCCTACCATTCACAAAGGACAATCCTCACACCCTCCCGTGACCTCTCTGCCCCCAAAACACCCCCCCGTCCTGCGCAGCTGTTTGGAGCTACCTCTGAGCTCCACCCCGAGCGACCTTCAGCCTGTCCCTGTCCCTGAGGTGGGCAAACATTGCAAGAAGCAAACAGCAAACAGCCCACACTGACCTTGGAGCTGGGGCAGGGGTCAGAGACCTCCCCGCAGGGCCACCCCTGCCCTCCTCCAGCCTCCCTCTTGCCCTCTAGGACTCCAGGGGGTGGAGGTGGGGCAGAGGCTGTGCTGGCTTGGCTAGGTAATATGAGATGCCTGGGTTCAAATTCACCACTTGCCTATTGGGGAGCTGTGGGTAAGTGGCCTTACCCTTCCTCTGGCAGCCTCAGTTTCCTCGTCTGCAAAATGGGGATGATACAGAGCCCACCCCCATCCCTCGTGGGGCTGTGGTGAGTCCATTCATCAGGTCGAGGTGGCCTGCCCACGCACGTGGCGCTCAGCAAGCACAGACTTGGTAAACAGCAGCTGACACTGACCAAGCACCTTTGTGGCGTATCTGGCAGTGCTCACAGCACTTTGGGTAAACAATCTCCTTTGCTTTCCTGGACAGGCAGTCCATGACTCCCCTTCATGACTGAAGGAACAGGCCCAGAGGGGTTAAGCAGCTTGCACCAGGTCACACAGGCGGAACTGTGCGGAGCCAGGCTCTGAACCCCAAACCACACTGCTTCTCATAAGGCAGTGCATGGTGAGTCTCTCTCTCCCTCTCTCTCTTTTTAAGATTTTATTTATTTTTAGAGAGAGGGGAAGGGAAGGAAAAAGAGAGGGAGAGAAACATTGATGTGTGAGAGACACATCAATCGGTTGTCTCTCGCACACCCTTAATAGGGGACCTGGCCCACAACCCAGGCATATACCCTGACTGGGAATCGAACCTGTGACCTTTCGGTTCACAGGCTGGTACTCAATCCACTGAGCCACACCAGCCAGGGTTCTTTCTCTTTTTTAAAATCATTATTATGGTAAAATATAAAACATAAAACATACCATTTTAACCATTTTTAGATGCATAGTTCAATAGCATTAAATACACTCACAATATGTTCAACCATCACCACCATCCATTTCTGGAACTTTTTCATCATCCCAAACAGCGACTCTAGAAGGTTTTAAGCAGTAAATAAAAGTTGGCCTCGCCAGTGTGACTCAGCTGATTGAAGGGTCATCCCATATCCTAAAGGTTGTGTGTACAGTTCCCAGTTGGGGCACATCCTGGGATGGGGGTTCAATCTCTGGTTTGGGCACGTCTGATTCCTGGCCCACGTGTGTACCAGGGGGCAGCTGGTCAGTGTTTCTCTCTCACACTGATGTTTCTCTCTCTCTCTCAGCAGTGAAGAAATATCTTTGGAGAGGATTAAGCAAAAAACTCCAGGAAGTTTTATTTTGCTGGTGATTGTTAGTGAGGAACTCTAAGGAACATTTGTTGAACACCTACTGTGTGCAGAGCCCAGGCTGGAGCCACCAGAATGGACAGCATTCTGCTGAAAGCCTCCGGGTCAGGACAGCCCTGTGCGGTCATTCAAGCTGTCCATCAAAGTGGGGTTGTCAGACTTTCCACCTAAACTCGCAGGATGCCTGGTGAGACGAATGTCAGAGAGACAACAAGTAATTCTTAGTGTAAGCCCCAAGTGCTGAATGGGACATACTTATACTAGAAATAAAAACATTATTTATCTGCAATTCCAATGTCACTGGGAGTCCTGCATTTTATCGGGCAACCCTAGACCAAAAACTTTAGCCCGTGGTCCCCTGGCCGAGCCCAGCGCCCTGGCCCCTAGCTGGGCTCTCCAGGAGAAAAAGGTGTATTTTCTCTCTGTCTAGCGTTGGACAACCTCCTACTACATGCACCTGGGGCTTTCCCTCCAGGGCCTTGCCCAGCTTTGGCATAGACTCTGAGAGGCAGGTGGTTATTTGTCTTTTTTAAAGGCTTAAAACCCTCCTCTCACCCCAGTTTTATTTTTATTTTTGAAAGACTGTTTTTAGAGAGAAGGGAGGGAGGGAAACATGGATGTGTGGTTGCCTCTCGTGCACCCCCTACTGGGGACCTGGCTCGAAACCCAGACATATGCCCTGCCAGGGAATCGAACTAGTGACCCTTTGGTTCACAGCCCATGTTCAGTCCACTGAGCCACACCAGCCAGGATGTGGCAGGTAGTTATTACCTTCCCCATTTTACAGATGAAAACACTGATGCCCAGAGAATGGGATGTATTTGCTCAGGCCACATGGTGAGGGTGTGTCTGGCCCTATAGCCAAGAGATGTTAGAGATGAAAGAAGGAATCATGAACAGCTATGGTCTGTAACCACCTGTGTGTTAGCACCTTTCCTTGTAGAATTTCACTGAATTAACATCCTGCCTGAAACATGGACTATCTGCCCATGTTACAGAGTGGGAAATTGAAGCAGAAGTGGGGACTGTCACATGAGGTAGAGCCAGGATTTGAACCCGGTGCAACACAGGAGGCCAAAGAACGTTCTATATTCCCCTGTCAGGCCAGGGTTCTGGGAAGGTAGGAAGGAGGGAGGCCAGCAGGGGCAGGTGGAGCCTCTGACCCTCGCTGCCATCCAGGTCCTTCTCTCTCTGAAGTCCCTGCCAAGGGGCGTGGGGAGGTGGCTGGGGGAGGGCTCTGCTGAGTGCAGCCGCCCCCACCTGTCCCCCAGCCCAGAGAGCTGAGCACAGAGAGACAGAACCCCCAGAAATGCCGCTCCCTGGGTGCAGGCCCCGGGCCCTGCCCTCCCTTTGCTTCTGCCTCTGCGCTGTGCTCCTGGCCTGTGTTGTGGGTGAGCAGGAGTGGGTGGGTGGGTGTGGGGGCCCTGCAGCAGCTCAGGGCGGATGGGACTCTGACCTGCAGTGCAGTCTGTAAGCATGTGGGTGTGGTGCTCATGTGCTCTTGGCATGTCTGGGAGTGTGTGTCAGTGGCAGTGGTGTGTACAGTGTGCATGTGGGGTTGGAGCAAAGGACAGTGGCCATGTGTGTGCCTGTGCATGTGTGAGTGTTGGCATGTAGTCCTGGTAAGTGTGTCTGTGAACATGCATGTCTGTGCATATGTGCCCTTGTGTGTTTTTATGGGCTCTTTAAAAAAAATTATTTGAGACAGAGAGAAGAGAGAGAGTGAGAAACAGCAATTTGTTATTCCACTCACTTATGCACTCATTGGTGGATTCTTGTATGTGACTTGACCGGGGATTGAACCTATAACCTTGGTGTATCAGGATGATGCTCAAACCAACTGAGCTACTCTACCAGGGCATTTTTTTTCCCTTTAAAGATTTTATTTATTTTTACAGATGGGATGGGAGAGAGAGAGGGAGAGAAACATCAATGTGTGGTTCCCCTCTCACACGCCCCCCACTGGGGACTTGGCCAGCAACCCAGGCATGTGCCCCGACTGGGAATTGAACCCTCAACCCTTTGGTTTGGAGACCAGCACTCAATCCACTGAGCCACACCAGCCAGAGCTCTATCAGGGTCTTTATTGGAGTCTTTATGCAAAAGCTTTGAGTGTGTGGGCACATGGGAGGGTGTCTGTGTGCACTGGAGTGAGCACACTGGGGTTGTGCACACGCATTTACAGTGTTAACAAGTGATAGGAGCCTACACAGCGCCAGGCACCACTGCAAGTGCCTTACACGAGCTCCCTCTGAATTCCCACAATACCCGATGAGGCAGGTCCTATCATTATCCAAGTCTGCTGAGAGGGAAACTGAGTCTTGAAGAGGTTAAGTCATTAGCCAAGGGCACAGTGCAGGTCACGTGGGCACTTCTGTACATGTGTGCATGTGTACCTGCATGGTGCCTCTGCTCTGGGGGTGAGGCTTTGCCCAGGGGCACGGCTGTGAGACCACTGGGTGTGTGCAAGGAACACTGGTGCCCACCGGGACAGCACAGTCCTGCCAGCCTCCACCCCGGAGGGGCAGACAGTCCTCCTGTGCGCTCCCTCCACTGCCCGTAGGGGGAGTTCAGCGTGGGGTCTCAGAAGAATGGAGGGGCAGCAAGATCAGGAGTGAAGGAGGCAAGGGGAGGGACACAGGGGTCAGAGAGGTGGGTTGGCAGACTGAAGAGAAAGCCACAGGCAGACAGGGGTTGATGGGAGGGCGCAGAAGGTGAAAGAAGACCAAAGGTGACAGGGACATATAAGGCGATGAAGGCCAGGGGTGACAGGGCTGGCAAGAGCCTGCCCTTGGGCCACCAGGATTGACAGTGACAGTGCACAGGGAGGGAAAAGGAGGAGGAAGGGTTCTGGGATCCCAGCCCACCCAGGTTGCCCTCTGTTACACCTAGAATGCCAGGAAGAACTGCCTACGAGTTCCCCGAGTGCCCCTCCAGGGCTGGTAAGTAGATCCTGGAACGCGGTGCTGGGCAAGGTGAAGGGGATGATGGAGCCACTGGTGACAAAGACCAGAGAGACGTGGCAGTGGTTCCGGTGAGTGTACGCAGGAGGGGCTGAACTCCGGACTCCTGGGTCTGAGCGGGGAGGGGCTGGGGGCCTGGGCTCTGGTCTGAGGGAGGAGGGGCTGGGGGCGTGGACTCCTGGGTCTGAGAGGGGAGGGGCTGGGGGCTTGGGGGCCTGGGTCTGAGGGGGGAGGGGGTGAGTGAGGTAAAGTCTTGGGGAAATCTGTGTCCCCAACTGTGATATCCCCTCTCCCGCAGCGTCCCCACAGCCGTCCAGGGCTTTGCACAGACCTACTACGAGGACCACCTGCAGGACCTGGGTCCCCGTACCCAGGCCTGGCTCCGCAGCTCCAAGGACAGCCTCCTGAACAAGGCCCACAGCTTGTGTCCCCAGTTTCTCTGTGGGGAGGGGGACCAGGATTAAAGTGTTCACAGCCACCACAATAAAGAAATTCTTGTCAGCGTCCCTGTCTGCATCTGTCCTCAGTGAAGCCAGAGACGACCACACCCCGCACACTTCCAGCAGCTCATGAGTAGAGGAGACACCTGACAAAGGAGGGGCCCTCGGGGGGCCTTAGGGGAAGGAGGGGGATGACCCTCCTCGGGCCTGAGACCCACTTTGGGCTTGTGGGGGTTGGGAGACTTCCGGCTCCTCGGTTTGGGATAAAGGCTGAAAGCTGGCGAGGAGGCGGGGTTTGCAGGACCCCACGGGGACCCCTCACACATGGCGCTGCCTTTACTGCCCCCGCGACGAAGACCCCAGATCCTATTCCTGGTGGGCACCCAAAGCCCCAGTCCCTCCACAGCCCCCACCCAGCCTGTCTGTCTCAGGGGTGAGTTTTCAGAGTGGGGGACCTCTGTGGCTTGACCTCAGGGGATGTCACTGCCCTCTGTGCCCCTACCCCACCCCTCAGCGGCTCTGTTGGCCTGGACTTTGGCCTAGGCGACCAGGTGGCGGTGGCTGTGGAGGGGAGGTGGATCCCCAGGAGGTATAAAGCCTTTCTCTGCTCTGCCTTGGGAGCTGGTGAGGATCGCCTGCCAGAGTCTGGTAAGAGAGGGACTAACATGGTGGGGGGGGGGGGCATCAACAGGGAGGGGGCAAAGATTGTTCAAGAGACCTGGTGTTAGATTCCTGGGTTAGAAACACGGAATTCAGAACTGGAGAATGTTTGCCCCTGCTGGGCCCTCTCCATGGTCAGATCCCAACCTCCTCATGGCTGCACAGCAGAGTGAGCGAATGGGGGTAGGAGGGCAGCGGAAACATAGTCACTTAAACAGCCGTGCCTAACTGAGCCGGGACGCAAGTCCCTGCAGTGACTGGGTCTCTGCATAAACGCCCCCCTCTGCAGAGGCTTTCCTGGGCTGCACAACACACCTCCCCCTCCAGAGCACTTACCTCCTGGGGACACATTACATTTTCCTCATTTAATATTTGGGTTTTTTAAACTTTTTTTTTATTTAGAGAGAGAAGGGAGAGAGAAACATCAATTTGTTGTTTCACTTATTTATGTATTTATTAGTTGGTTCCCCTGACTGGGGATGTTGGCGCATTGGGACGATGCTCTAACCCACTAAGCTAACCTGCCAGGGTTCATTTAATATTTGTTAATGGTATTTCTGTCTCATGTCAGCTTCCTAAGAGCAGGACCATTGCTGGGTTCACAGCCAGGCCCAGAGCTGTGCTTGGCACTTAGTAGGTGCTCAAGAAAATTAGTAGGTGCTCAAGAAATGCTTCTTTTTAACTTTATTTAAGATTTGATGTATTTATTTTTAGAGGGGGGGAGGGAAGGGGAAAGAGAGGGAGAGAAACATCAATGTGTGGTTGCCCCTTTCACGCTCCCTACTGGGGACCGGGCCTGGAACCCAGGCAGGTGCCCTGACTGGGAATCGAACTGGTGACCCTTTGGTTTGCATGTCTGCACTCAATCCACTGAGCTACACCAGCCAGGGCTTCAAGAAATGTTTCTTGAGTGAATGAATGGATGTTAGAATTATTATGTTAAAATCAGGAGGAGAGGCCCTGGCCAGGTGGGTCAGTTAGTTGGAGTGTCAGCCCGATGTGTTGTGGTTGTAAGTTCAGTTCGATCCCTGGTCAGGGCATATGTAGGAGCCAACCAGTGGCTGCCTGAAACAACAAATTGATGTTTCCCTCTCTCTCTCAAATAAATTTTTAAAACTTTAAAAAAAAGTGTAAAAAACAAAAAAAAATCAGGAGTACAATCACAGAATGTTAGACAAGGAGGCCCAAGCCAACCCAGGAGGAACTTGGCTTGGGGGGCGGGGAGAGGGGGATCCCAACCCCCTCCCTTTGAATGCCAGGGCCTCGGGAATAGACGCCTCCAGCCTCCTTGCTCCACACCCTCCTCAGCGTTCCAGGTCTTCTGACGCCATGGGCACCCGCTACTTCCTGGCCCTGTTTCTCATCCTCCTGGTATTGGGATTTGGTGAGTGTGATCGGCAGGGGAGGCAGGTCTGCGAGGAGGGGGATGAGTGGCAAGCATCTTCCTTGGCAGTTCCTGTCTGGCCCTGCTCCTGCCTCCTCCTCTCCTGCCCTGCCCATTTTCCCCCTGCAGGAGGCCCATCAGCTGTCCTAACCCACTCTCCTCCTGCAGAAGTCCAGGGGGCCCCTCTGACCCAGGAAGATGAGATCAGCAGCCCCTCGCTGTTCTCCCAGATGCAGGAATCACTTTATAGTTACTGGGATACGGCCAAAACAACGGCCCAGGACCTGTACCAGAAAACCTACCTGCCCTCCGTGGACGAGAGTATAAGGTATGACTCCACCCTCACCCGACACACCAGGAGTCCAGGCCCCCAGCCCCTGCTCCCTCAGACCCTCTGTCCTTTCTCCCCAGGGACATGTACAGCAAAAGCACAGCGGCTGTGAGCACTTACGCAGGGATTTTTACTGACCAGGTCTTTTCTCTTCTGGCGGGAGACGAGTAACGACGGGACCCCACACACAGGAGAGGAGATAGTCCAGAGCCCAGCAACTCTTTCGCTCCCGACCACCCCTCCACTCCCCACTTCCTAGCAGCTCTCCGCATCTTGCTACCAACTTTAGCGTGATTTCTTATCAATAAAAAAAGACAAATCTTCTCTTTGTTGTGGTTGCTTTTGTGAGACTTCAGGGACCCATTCATTCCAGTCAACATTTATTGAGCACCTATTATAGGCATGTAGCCCTCACCTGGTGAGTGGGAATAAAGAGGTGAATAATAACAATCAGTGATCATAACAACATTAGACGTCGCCCTTCACTAAGGCCCTTCTTTCTCATCTGTCAAATGACAAACCGTGGACACAGCTAACCTGCAGTGGCCTCTCGCAGTGTCCGTGGCCTGGGCTGTGTGCTGTTAAGGGGGCACATATGAGATCGTGGCCACTTAAATTTGGAGGTTCAGATTCGCAGACAATAAAAACCCCAAGTCAAAGGTGAATAGTTAAGTACTTTATTAAGCGAGAGCAAAGAGAAAGCAAGAATCAAGAGCATACATCACCAGATGGGAAATCACCAACACTGGAACACAGACGCTGGGGAATCCCGGAGACAGCATTTGGGGGTCCGTCTGGGAAAAGTTCTGAGCGAAGGGTCCTTCCCTCGGGTGGGATTCCAAAGTCTCACTTTGGGGGCTCTGCTGAAATCTGTTTTAGACAAAAGTGGCTACGTGCCCAGGGCCTTTCATGGCTCCACTGACCAACCGTTCCCTCTGGGAGAATAGCCAGTTCTTCCCTAAGGGAATGATCAGTGTTTACAGGTACCGAGTTAAAAATTGGTGGTGCTTAGTCTTCTGTGGGGAAGGTCTAGTTCTCTCTGGGAGACAGCACACCTATATTTCATTCTTCCAATAAAAGATCACGGCTCGGGCACACATGGGTAGGATTCTTAATATTTCTTTCACGCATCAGGCTGACACTTTAAATGTGCCCTCTGTCGCCCGGAGTTGTCCAGCATGCCTGTGACAGTGGGGAGACTGGTGCCCAAAAGTCTCTGCTAAGCACAGGAAGTCAGTGCCCAGGTTGGCTGCGACCCACGAGGACAGACCTGCAAAAACTGTCCTTCGTGGCAATTCCTGTGCTTTTACTGAGACCCTACCAGGCCCTGGGGATACGGCAGGGAGTAGACAGACAGTCCTGTCTCCCTCGAAAAGCTGTTAATTGATTGGGTCCTGGCCCAGTTTCATACGGTTTTACTGATTCAAATTTGTGGTATGTTGCCCTGCCTGGTGTGGCTCAATGGATTGAGTGCTGTCCTGCGAACCAGAGGGTGGTAGGTTCGATTCTCAGTCAGGACACATGGCTGGGTTGCGGGCCATGTTGCCAGTTGGGGGCATGTGAGAGGCAACCGATCAATGTTTCTCTCCCTCTCTTTCTCTGTCCCTTCCCCTCTCTAAAAATAAATAAATAATCTTTAAAAAATGTGTGGTATGTGTTGTTAGTTGTTCTCTTCTAATTAACAACAGTCGTAACATTTCCTGAGCTCCTACTCAGGGCCAGAAGCTCAGTTCCATGCCGTGGACACAAACAGAGAAGCTATTTGGACGGGGGTGGGGGGTGGGTGCAGAGGATGAGCAAGCCAACCAATGGAGAAGATAACTTCAGCGACACAGGCAATGAAGAAAAGGAGGGGAAGTGAGGATATTGAGGCCTGGGTGCGGCCACCTTGGATAGATGGTAGGTTGGGTGCAGGGAGGGCCCCCAAGAGGCCCCGGTGGTGCGCTGGTCACAGGGCTGTGCATCACAGCGCAGTGTGGTTGGGGCTGTGTTTACTAGAGAGTGGGGGAGGGGTGGGGCACTCCCTTGACCCCAGGGCCTGGGTGTGGTGGATAGTGGTTGGAAGAGGGTCTCTGGGGAGTGGGGAATGGCAGGCAAAAAGCACAGGGCATACAAATAAGAACAGAGGCCCTGCAGCCTGGGAGAGGGCAGTGCTAAGTCCTGTGGGTAGGGGAGCTGGGCACCTGGACCCCTGGATCCTGAGGGAGTAGAAGGTGGTCCTGGGCCCCCAGTTTCTAGGGCTGGGACTGTTGGCCTCTGAGGACCCAGGGCTCGTATTTTTTCCTAAGCTGCTTGGTATTAACCTCCGGCCAGCCTTTCTGCACTGCTGGGACAGTTTCCCAGGTCCTGAGGCTGGGCAGCTGTGAATCTAGTGGAAAACAGGGGCCTTGGGGAGGGGTTATGGGAAATGTCCCTAAGTCCCAGGGCCTGCAAGGAGCTGAGGCTGCCAAACCTAGCGGGTGGTGGGGAGGAGGTGCTCTGGAGGAACAATCCCTGCTCTGTCCACTTGTTTCCCACGGACTCCAGCCAAACCAAACCTCAGCCCAGGCCAGTTCTGCTTCCAACCAATCCCAGTGCCTTCCCAGACTCCTCCTTTCTTTCTCAGGCCTCTGCTGCAGTCCTATTCCCCTCACGACCCCAGAATCCAGGTCCCCAGACTCCTTCTCCCCAAAGACTCAGGAGCCTGGGACCCCCGATTTCTCCCTCAGACCTGGGAGTCTAGACCCCAATCTCTTCTGAAGACCCAGTTCAGGTCTCCAGTCCCCTTCTCCCTTAGAACCTGAAATCACAGCCTCTGGTTGGTGTTGGGCGTCCCCTAGTGGAGGGCAGAGTGGGTCTGGCCTGTGATTTATTTGCTAGTTAGAAGGAATGAATTTATTTGGTCACTCAAAAGACACAGGGTGGGGAGGGCTTTGCAGGGGTCCCATCGAAGGTCACAGTCTAGCCAAGAGCCTCGAATGCTTCAACAGATCAGATCACAGCTGTATATGGGAGAGGGAAGACAGACTGGGGTATTTTGTGTCTGGAACTGAGAGCAGAGATGGGGTTACAGTGAAGCTGGAGATTTAGCTTCAAAGCCTCTCACTTTTCTGGGTTTTTCTGGGGTCCTCTATTCAAATTTGTACTTATAGTTATGTACTTTTTTTTTTTTAAGATTTTATTTATTCATTTAGAGAGAGCAGAAGGGAGAAAGGGCTAGGAAGGGAGGGCAAGAAACATCAATGTATGGTTGCCTCTCACACAGCCCCCCCACTGGGATCTGGTGCCCTGACTGGGAATCGAACTGGTAACCCTTTGGTTCATAGCCCGAGCTCAATCCACTAAGCTACACCAGCCAGGGCAGTTCTGTACTTTAAAGAGGCCTACAAAATCTTAGTCTGCTTCTCTCCACACCCTCCCTCCTGTTTTAGGGACTTAATCAGTATGTTCATTTGCCCCTGGATTTAGGGCCTACAATGTCACAGAATCATTATTACTACTATTATTATCTGTAAGAGAAGGGGACTGGGCATGAAGTTTTCTAAGGTTTCTTCTTGCCCTTGTGCTGCCCTCAAAGGTAAGTCATTCACCTTCTGCACTCAAGAATTTCTTCCTTTCATTCAGCAATCACCCCCTGGGGCAGTGCTGGAGGACACAGCAATCGCCAGAACAGCCCCAAGGCAAGATACAGCACACCCATTCCTGACATTGATGACCGGAAGTGAGCAGAGTGGGATGAGGGAGTCCAGGGATCTTGGAGGATCGTGAGGCGGTGCCCCACTCAGCCTGGGGAGACAGGGTGGATTTTCTGGAGGATGAGCTATTTGTTGAGCTGAGACCCAGAGGAAAGTGGAGGAAGTAGATAGTAAAATAATAAATACTTGGAATCTCCCTTCCAGGCAATGTGTAAGGTTCGCGGTGAGAGCGCAAGATGTTGATCACTTACTAAGTGGAGTCAGGGGGCCAGGTGCGTATATAATGCCCAGTTTGTAAGAGTAAGAAACTGAGGCTTAAAGAGATGTTACTTGAACGGGATCGCTTAACCGATCCACGGTGTGAACCCAGGTCAGACCTCCACCCAACTCACTGGTGAAGGCTTAACAGCCAATGAGAATTTTCTGTCCTCTCTGGGTGGGCCTTCGTAAACACCCTCCCCAAGAGTCTCTGAACAAGTAAGTGTCCACGCTTAGAGCTGTAGACAGATACAAAGCTAAGAAAACATGGAGTTCATAGGGTGCCTGAAGCCGAGTCCAGAGCTGCAAAGTTTGCGCTAAACAAGCCGACAACCAAGAGGACGTGCATGCGCGCTAAAATAGCAGCCCGAGGGCTACTGGAGACGCTGCCAAGGATCCAATTTGGAGGTGTGGTGGCCCTGAGAACCCCGATATAGTAGTCTGAGGGCACAGGAACACTATAACCTAAAAGGGACTTATAGGGGTGAAAAGGTTGAGGTAGCAAAAGGGGTCAGCGGACGAAAGTATTCGCCAAACACGCTACGATTCTAACGAATCTGGGTACGGTGGCCAGGAAGGTTCCTTTAATGCAGGAGGGGGCGTGGCTCGAGACGGACGTTTTTGAAGCGTTACGGTGGCCGGGGGAGCTCAAGAACTATGGAACGGAAAGAACTCGAAGAACCAGCGGAGTGAAGCGACCGGGACGGCTTAGAAGACTCATATATACCTGGAAGAGGCAGGTTTACTTGAGGGAGCAGAAGTAATGGAGACTGTGGGAAGCGTATATATTAGTCGAGAAAGTCATGGGAGTTCGCAGCAGGCAGTGTGTATACTAGGGGAAAACAAAAGGGCTACTAGGAGGGAAAAGTACGGTGGCCGGATTGACTCCTTCATAGCCGGAAGCTGCTCTTCCCAGAGGTGCGGCTGTGGCGCTCTTGCCCGGTACGGTGGCCGGCGGGTCAAGCAAAGGTAAAATCTCGCGCGATCTCGCTGGCGCCGTCGGGGACGGGGCGGGGCTGGCGGCGGGGGCGGGGACCCGGAGCGGGAAGATGGCGGCGGCGCAGGAGACGGACGGGGCAGGCAGCGCCGTGGTGGCGGCCGGAGGAGGCGGCTCCGGTCAGGTACGGAGGCCGAGAGGGGACTGAGGGGCTTTTCCCCACCTGGGGGGCCTCCCACGGGGCCTGTCCTGCCTCTTAGCGCAGAACCCTGTGCATTAGGGGCCACTTACCCAGGGGGACCTTGAATACGGGGCCCAGCCGGGGCCAGGCGGCCCGGGAGTCCGTACAGTGCGGGAAGCGGGGCCCTGTTGCGCGCCAGGTCCCCTGCGTGCTCGCGCCGGGTGGCCACCGGGCTTATTGCCCGAGCCGGACACTGGCGCGCAGGGACGCAGAC